CTCCCAAAGTAAGGCACATGTTAAGGGGGAGTCTTTCGGGATGGGTTCCTTAGGTGTTGAAGAGGAGCAAATAGAAGAATACGCTAAACTTGAGGTTGTTGATGCTGTTGGAAAGGAAGAGCAACACGTTCGGCCTTGTACCATTCAATGTCAACTTCAGCAGTTTGAGTCTATCATGACCCAGCGGTTAAATCGGTTGGAAGCTCGAGTGACTTTGATGGCTGTCTTGCTTCGTTGGAGGCCACTACTAGCCGTGTTGAGCGTTCGGTGGATCAAACCTCGCTTTAGCTTGCTCAAATTCTATCTTACTTCAGATTAAGCATCCTTCACCTCCGCTTCCTCAATTTCAGTGATGTTCTCTCTCTCTTTTGGTCATAATTTTTTTATTCTAGTATGTACTCTTTCATATCTTGGACATGTTTGCTACTGTTTTAGACATGGTTTGTTGATGGATATTTTGGGCTCTGTTAGATGTCTATTGGGGTTTGGGACTTGTTAGCATGATTTATAGACGTCTTATCTATTTGCTCTTGGTTTGTTATCATGCTTTGGCTTGTTGTCCCTTTGTCTCTCCCTATCAAAAAGGGGGGTAATATCATGCTTATGGGTGTTGTTGTTTTCTAATGATCTATCTATCTATTCATCTATTGTGTTTGTACTAGTTTCATTATGATCTTTGCAGGTGGCACACTTTACAAGTTGTTTAGAGTGGTTAGGTTTTGTTTGTGTCTAGAGCGCGTGTTTGTTACGCTATATTGTTCGAAGTGTTTTGTCCAAGAATTGACAAAAAAGGAGGTTGTTAGGTCCCTTGTGTTGTCAATTCCACGAGGAAACACATTTGAGTTGTAACTGCAGAGCCTTTGTTTATTCTTAGACTGCTCGAGCAATAAAGTGTTGGCTCGAGCGAAGAAAGGCCTCTTTCAGTAGTTCAGACTTGTTCTGAAAATACCGGGAGCATTTATTCTTTGCTCAAGCGAAGGCACTTATTAATCCACCACCTTTTAGACACATCGCTCGAGTGACTATTCTTGCGCTCGAGTAGTCTTTGTGACTCTATTTCATATAAAGTTGCTAAAGATGTATGTTTTAGGGTTACGGCTTCCAGATTTGAAACAAGAGATTTGTGGACGTTTGTGTTTTTATCTAGAGAGCTTAACTAGTGTTTTCCTTTGATGATATGGATTAAATTGCACATATCAAAGTGGTTTGTCACGATTCAACTTCAATAAAGTGTTTCATCGGTGGATTTTGAAGAGTTTGGGCTTGGCAGCTTTGGAAGATTTCGAAGCAGCTCAGTGTCATGGATTCGACTTGGGTGTTATGGATTCAACACTGGGCTATTCAATTCCGAGACGAAAATATTGATGAAGAGACACAAGGAGTGAAAGTCAATTTATGAGTGAGTGTTGGAAAATTGCTTGTATTCTTGTGTAATTTCATTATCTTCTTAGTAGATTGTTTAGTAGCTTTTAGCCCCGATTTTTTTTTTTATCACATTTGGAGATACTCCAATTGTGATTTTTTTCACGTTAAAATCTTTTGTGTTTGTTTTATCAATTGTGAAACAACAAGCTAAATCATTTTCGTATGTGCTAGATGATTTAGATTGTTTGTTTTATGTGTTTGGGTATTTCAAACAGACTTTTTAGCCCCAAACTAAAATAGTTAAAAAGTCAAAAAGTTAACTCACATCCCAAATGAACCCAAAGTGAGAGACATAAACAAATTTTGACTCTTCATCAAGGGAAAATACTATGGTACACACCTTTCAAATGGTGTATCATATATACCTTATAACCAAAAAATAAAATAACATAACTTTATACTTTCTGAGTTATAATTTAAAAAAAAATGTCATAATTAAACATAACATAAGGCATAACTAAAATAATGTTTTAACTAAAAAAATGACATAACTAAGGACATATAATACACACTTTTGAGGGGGCGTGCCTATTAGAATTTCCCCTCCACCAACACATCCAAAGAGAACTGAAGTTACGTTCTTTAAATTCCTACTTCGTTTCTATTCAACCAAAACAAATTAAGCCCTCAAACACAACAACAACAACACCGCCCCCCCTCTCTATATATATATGTGTGTGTGTATAAAAGAATGAACTAGCCTTCAGCAAAATCCCAAACAAGTAAGTAATCACTTCCCTTCAATTTTCCAATGTTTTTCTTTTCTTTTCCATCTTTTGATTATCATTATTTGGGAGGGGGGGTTTGGGTATGTCTTGGTGGGTGTTCCTTGTTGGTGTTGGTTGGGTGTCTTGGTGCGCGTTGTCGTATTCCTCTACTACTTCTCATGGCTGAGACTTCCAAGTGAAAAAAAAAAATGGCTACAGTTAATCGTCTTTCATTTAACCGTGAAAAATTTTCATCCAAAGAAAAAGCCAAGTTGTTTCAGGAATTTATGTGTCTAGAACTGTCCATCTTGAGTAGAATGTCCATCTAAACACTTTTGAGTCTATTCTCATCCGTCATGTGTTCAATCCCTTGGGTGGTGACCAGGTTCAACAGTTTTTGGGTCTTCAAAATCTCTGAGGCTCTCATCAAGCAAAATGAACTTCTTCCCCGCTTTCGCTTCCTAAATATCATTGTGTGCGCCAATCTTTATGTTACCACTCATACCTCTAACATCAATCAAGAGCAAGGTTTTGTCTTATACTGCATTGATCGTCACCTTCAAATCGATCTTTCCATCATGATTGTCCAAAAAATGATCTCTCTGTTTGAGGGTAAGAAATCTTTAAGTCTTCCTTATAGGTGTCTCATTAATTGGATCATTTCTTTTCTTGAGGTTTCTTCTTCTCCTGATGATGAGTTTTCTAGCCTTGTCAAACCTGTCACCAAAAAGACTGTCTCTCAAAGTAAGGCACATGTTAAGGGGGAGTCTTCCGAGATGGGTCCTTCAAGTGTTGGAGAGGAGCAAATAGAAGAATACACTAAACTTGAGGCTGTTGATGCTATTGGAAAGGAAGAGTAGCCCATTCGGCCTTGCACCATTCAATGTCAACTTCAGCAGTTTGAGTCTACCATGACCCAGCGGTTTGATCGGTTGGAAGCTCGAGTGCCTTTGATGGCTGTCTCGCTTCGTTAGAGGCCACTACTAGGCGTGTTGAGCGTTCGGTGGATCAAACCTCGCTTTAGCTTGCTCAAATTCTATCTTACCTTCGAATGAAGCATCCTCCACCTCCGCCTCCTCAATTTTAGTGATGTTCTCTCTCTCTCTCTTTCTCTCTCTTTTGGCCATAATTTTTTTATTCTAGTATGTACTCTTTCATAACTTTGGCATGTTTGCTACTGTTTTAGACATGGTTTGCTAATGGATATTTTGGGCTCTGTTAGATGTCTATTGGGATTTGGGACTTGTTAGCATGATTTATAGACGTCTTATCTATTTGCTCTTGGTTTGTTATCATGCTTTGGCCTGTTGTCCCTTTGTCTCTCCCTGTCAAAAAGGGGGGGGGGTAATAACATGCTTACGGGTGTTGTTTTTTTCTAATGATCTATCTATCTATTCATCTATTGTGTTTGTGCTAGTTTCATTATGATCTTTACAGGTGGCACACTTTACAAGTTGTTTACAGTGGTTAGGCTTTGTTTGTGTGTAGAGCGCGTGTTTGTTAGGCTATATTGTTAGAAGTGTTTCGTCCAAGAATTGACAAAAAGGGAGGTTGTTAGGTCCCTTGTGTTGTCAATTCCACGAGGAAACATGTTTGAGTTGTAACTGTAGAGCCTTTGCTTATTCTTAGACCGCTCGAGCAATAAAGTATTGGCTCAAGCGAAGAAAGGCCTCTTTTAGTAGTTCAGACTTGTTCTGAAAATTCTGGGAGGATTTATTCTTTGCTCAAGCGAAGGCACTTATTGATCCACCACCTTTTAGACACATCGCTCAAGTGACTATTCTTGCGCTCGAGTGGTCTTTGCGACTCTATTTCATATAAAGCTGCTAAAGATGTATGTTTTAGGATTACAGCTTCTAGATTTGAAACAAGAGATTTGTGGACGTTTGTGTTTTTATCTAGAGAGCTTAACTAGTGTATTCCCTTGATGATTTTGTGCGTTTGTCGCCTCACATGGATTAAACTGCACATATCAAAGCGGTTTGTCACGATTCAACTTCAACATAGTGTTTCATCGGTGGATTCCGAAGAGTTTGGGCTTGGCAGCTTTGGAAGATTTCGAAGAAGTCAGTGTCATGGATTCGACTTGGGTGTTGTGGATTCAACACTGGGCTATTTAATTCCAAGACGAAAATATTGATGAAGAGACACAATGAGTGAAAGTCAATTTATGAGTGAGTGTTGGAAAATTGCTTGTATTCTTGTGTAATTTCATTATCTTTATAGTAGATTGTTTAGTAGTTTTTAGCCCCTGTTTTTTTTTTTTTTATCACATTTGGAGATACTCCAATTGTGATTTTTTTCACATTAAAATCTTTTGTGTTTGTTTGATCAATTGTGAAACAACAAACTAAATCACTTTCGTATGTGCTAGATGATTTTGATCGTTTGTTTTATGTGTTTGGATATCCCAAACGAGACTTTTTAGTCCCAAACTAAAATAGTTAAAAAGTCAAAAAGTTAACTCACATCTCAAATGATCCCAAAGTGAGAGACATAAACAAATTTTGACTCTTCATCAAGGGAAAATACTATAGTACACACCTTTCAAATGGTGTATCATATATACTTTATAACTAAAAAATAAAATAACATAACTTTATACTTTCTGAGTTATAATTAAAAAAAAAATATATCATAATTAAACATAACATAAGGCATAACTAAAATAATTTTTTAACTAAAAAAATGACATAACTGAGACATATAATACACACTTTTGACCAGGTGTGCCTATTAGAATCCCCTCCACCAACGCATCCAAAGAGAACTGAGTTACGTTCTTTAAATTCCTACTTCGTTTCTATTCAACCAAAACAAATTAAGCCTTCAAACACCAACACACCACTGCAGTGCTCAATTTCTCACATCTCTCTCTCTCTCTCTCTCTCTCTATATATGTGTGTGTATATAAAAGAACGAACTAGCCTTCAGCAAAATCCCAAACAAGTAAGTAATCACTTCCCTTCAATTTTCCAATGTTTTTCTTTTCTTTTCCATCTTTTGATTATCATTATTTCCATTTAAAATGGACTGGGTAAATCTCATATTCTCACCAAAAATACATATATAAATAAAAGATTAATTTTTCAGAGAAAGAAGAAGAAGATGGAGAAGGAGAAATTGCAGGTGCTGAGCGGGAATAACAGCAGAAGTGGGAGCATAAGGAGGAGCATCGAAGATGTGTTTGGTGCAAGTTGGCGGAGTAGTCGTGCAGAAGAAGACGAAGAAGCTCTGAGATGGGCAGCTCTTCAGAAGTTGCCAACCTACTCCAGGTTACGAACCAGTATTCTCAAATCCTTTGTGGAAAGTGGAGACAATGGAGATAAGGTGGCTGTGCACAAAGAGATGGATGTGAGAAAGCTTGATATGCATGATCGACAACAACTCATTGATAGCCTTTTTAGGGTTGCTGAGGAAGATAATGAGAAATTCTTGATAAAGTTTAGAAACCGAATTCAGAAGTAAGTCATCTTTACATTTCATCAGCGGAGGGCCAAAGACAGTAAAAAAATTTCATCATATATACAAATATGCATGTATATATAATATAATATATAAATTATATATACGCATTAAAAAAAATTAATAGTATAGAAGTAATTTCTAATCCGATTAAAAAAAATTGGATAAAAAATAAAAAAAAAATAATGTAAGATGGTACAAAAATATAATAAATATCTTTTATACTAAGAGATTATTTTATTTATAAAAAAAAAAAAAAACAAGTTCAAACCAATAGATTTGTTAAACAATTCAATCATACATTAATAACTTTTGGCACTATCCCATTTGAATATCATTAAAAACAAATCAAGTATTTTTCCTGAGGCAGTTTTTTCATCGAGAGAATCAATGTTGACTTTTTGTTTTGTTTTGAATTCAATCTCTCGAACAGTCATTATTTGATAGCCGTGGATGTCAGAAAATAATATATATATATATATATTCATAATAATATTATAAATAATTATTAATTTGTTTCCCCTTATTGATATTATGTAATAATATTTTAATTCAGTTTGTAATTTTTTTCACCATTACTTCACTATTCATGTGTCACATTTTGGTTGAATCCATACGTCTGTCCAAATCACAAACTAGATACCGTAATACTACTAAAATAATTTGTGTACACAATTTACAAATAAAGAAATGATATTTTAAAATATTTTACAACTTTAATAAAAAAGTAAATTTTTAATTTTTTGATGTTTGATGAACAGTTAAAATATTTTCAACAACAAAAATCGTAATAATAATTTTTATTATTATTTTGTTATACATTCATGTTTCGGTAAATTGAGGTTTTGAAAAAATATTATAAGATTTACAGTTTTGACATAATTATATTGATCTCTCTTTTAATATGTGTCATGACTAAAGTGATCAAAATTAATACAGACAGTGTAAAAATATAAAATAAGATAAATATTGAATGCAACAAAAATAACAATCACAAAACCTAATTTTGATTAATTGCTCAACCATAATATATATATATATATAGTGAGAGAGAATAAAGACGATCAATATGTGTATGAAAATAATGAGGCTTAACATGTCCGTCGACTAGTATCCACTGTGATGAAAAAATTATAAATTAAAAAAAACATTTTATGCTTTATGATTAAAAATATTTTACTTAAAAATTTTATGCTTTATGACAAAATATTTTACTTAAAAAATATTCTACTTATTTTTTGGCCAAGCAAACAACGGAATATAGGTAATATTTTTGTATTTCATCGCTAAACAAACATAGCCTTTACATTTAAATTTTTTTACAATTCATATTTCGACAAATTGAGGTTTTGAAAAAAATGTTGCAAGGTTTATAGTTTTGACATATTTATATTGATCTCCTCTTTAATACAGTCACAGTCACGACTAAAGAGATCGAAATTAATACAGAGGGCGTGAAAACACAAATATAAACAATATAAAATAGATGACAATATTATTTTTCCATCTACATGACTAACGAATTTTTTATGTAACAAGTGTTATGTGAATGAAAAATCCAATGTAATTATACTAAATTTATAGAGTTTAGTGCAATTTCACAGTGTAATTTAGGTATCATGTTTGAGTAAATTATGAGCTTTTTTGAGTTGTGAATTGCGGTTGCAGGGTTGGGATAAACCTTCCAACTGTAGAAGTTAGGTTTGAGAATTTAAGAATAGAAGCGGATTGCTACATCGGTGATAGAGCTCTTCCCTCACTCGCAAATTCAGTCCGAAACATTGCCGAGTCAGCTTTGAGTTTGCTTGGGATCAGATTGGCTGAGAGAACAAAACTCACAATTTTGAAAGATGCCTCTGGTATAATCAAACCTTCAAGGTAAGTAAATTCCTCAAGTTGTAGTGTTTACATATATGCAAGCAAATTTTGTATGATTTGTCTTCTACATAATATAATATATAGGTCTATAATAATATAATTTAATTTATATGGTTAGCTCAATAGTCATTTGTTCAAATTAAGCATAAAAATTTAACGAGCTCAAAATTTATTTTAATTTGACTTATTTATCTTTGGAGGTGGTTACAAACTTAATTAATTGAGTTGAGCTTGCCCTAGTAGTTTCTTTTTTCTTTTTATTTATTTATTCTTTCTGGTAATGCAAAGTTCAACCTAATTCAACAAATTAATAAATTTCAAAATGTGTTTTAACTTATCTTGTTTAGACATTGAAGTGTTCTCGAACAAGTTTTTAATGAGTCGAACATTGTATTATATAAATAAATAGTTTTAGGTAAAAAGTGAAAGATGTATGAAAAAAAATTCATTGCTTAAATATTATAATAATGCTAGGGACACTAATAAACGTGCTAACAAACACACCAATAAAGGCACAAAGCATGGATGCACATCCAACTAATTTGCACGGGATTCGCTAGACATTATGTTCAATTAATATGTTTAATATATTTCTTTTTTATCAATTAAAAGACCTCTTTAAGAACTTTTAATTCATGAAAGAAAATTAAAAATCTTGACACTAGAATAATTTTTTTTTTTTTAAAAAAAATTATTTTTTATACCAAACAAATAATTTGAGACAATCGTAGTGTTTCTAAAGTTTCTTTTACCTATGGTGAAGCTAAATGCTACTAGGATATTGATATGACCCTGATTATTTATGTTATAGGATGACACTTCTATTAGGTCCACCATCCTCTGGGAAGACAACCCTTTTGTTAGCACTGGCTGGAAAGTTGGATCAAAGCTTGAAGGTCAGTCACAAGTCTCCAACCAAATTTCAATTTTTGTGAAGCGTTAGTAACCACTACCATCAATGTATGTAAATAGAAAATTGGGCAAATTACATCAATTGTCTCCATATATTGGTCCTTGAATTATTTTGATCCCTATATAGTTTTAGTTAGTTTGATTTTGATCTTGAATTTGACTTTGTCTTAATTTAATCCGATTGATTACAACTCTTAACCTTCTTTTTATGAAAAATGTGCTCATGAGCGACATACGTCATTCTTTTAGGGGCAAAATGATAAATTTGCTCTACTTGACAAGTTAACCTCAACAAACTTAGTGATAATTTTTTGTCAAAAACTCTAACGACATTATCAATTTGACCAAAGTGTCACAAATTTTAAAATTAATGATCAAAATTAAGTCAATTGAAAGTATAGACACCAAAATAACATAATAGACAAAAAATGTAGAGACTACTAATGTAATTTGCCCTATAAAATTTTAACAATCATATGGATATCATTCAATTATAATTGATGTGGAATAGGCAAGAGGAGAAGTCACATACAACGGAAACAAACTCAATGAATTTGTACCACAAAAGACATCAGCATACATTAGCCAAAATGATGTTCATCTAGGAGAAATGACGGTAAAAGAAACCCTAGATTTCTCAGCAAGGTGCCAAGGCGTCGGATCTCGATACGGTAGTTAATTAATCAAATCTCATAACACTTGCTTGCAATCCAATTTCAAAATTTTACTAGTTCAATATATATATATATATATATATTTTATTACATTCGATTTTTTATGAACAAACTATAGAACTGTTGACCGAGCTTGCAAAGAGGGAGAGGAGTGCCGGAATTTTTCCTGAGGCAGACGTTGATCTTTTCATGAAGGTAATAATAGCAAGAATACAAAATAGTTTTAGCTGATATACAATGTTTTTCTTTTAGTATTCTCTTGACTGTATGATTATGTAAATTGCATTATTTTATTTTTTTTATTTTTTTCCCCCCTGTATATATTTATCAGGCAACTGCAATGGAAGGAGTTGAGAGCAGCCTCATAACTGACTACACCCTTAGGGTAAGTTGGAAATTTATTTAGAATATAATTTTGTTCAAAAACATTTTGAATTAAAGCAATGAAGTAGGCATCATTGAAAGCAAAACAATTTTTTTTTTCCATATAATTGGTAAGAAAGTATTTATAAATATGAGAAATATTACATCACTACTAGTTCAACAATAGCTAAAAAGTCACCAAAACCTAATAATCAATCACCAAGCCTAAATCCAAGCCCAACAACCACAACATACAACTCCCATAATGGAGTAGAAATAAAAACTATCATAAAGGGTATCAAACTCCGCAGCATAAGAATTTAACCCAAGATCTCACATCATAAAGTGGTATTACACAACCATTATACAAAAGGCTTTGGGTGAAAGCAACACATCTCCCAGCTATAATTAATGCAAAACTTCTATGTGCACAAAAGGAACTAGACAAAATGTACCTATGTGAGACAAATGTACACAATTATAAATGCAAACATATTCGTAATTATAGATGTAAATATTTTTTTATCACACATCTATATATTTTGTGTCCAATTCTTTCTAAATAATCAAATCTGCAAACGTTGGTAGTGCAAAGTCTCTAGATCTAAGACGCATCATTAGTGCATACCATGCTCAAGTGTTAGTGTGTCATGCTCAAACAGCGTTAGTGCACACCATGCAACTAGATTTGATCAATTTGTCGGTGTTCAATTTGGAGTAGTTTGATTCTTACGCCGGTGTTTGCATTATGCTCAAACCCCTCCAAATCGGACACTCAATCATATGATGGGTTGGCTAATTCACTACTGATGCACACCATGTCACTGCCACGTGGAGTTTGTTGTGCTCCATGTCACCATGCCATGTCGGATCCACATCATCACCTCAACCTTTCTGTAGCAAATAGAAAAGCACCTCCATGGCGCATTGCACCAATGCGTCCATGCAAGGTGCACCATTAAAGCTCCCACATCCCACGCCATGCACTCACGTGTGCATGTGTGGATGGTGTATTACACTAGAATCCATACCACAATTCTATAGTCAAAGAAAAATTTCATGGTACTCTAAATTAATAGCTCTATATTTTTCTCTCTTTCCAATACAAGACAAGTTTCCAAGCTTGTTTCAAGCTTTCTAAAATAAAATAAGGTTGGTTTTGAAAATTAACATAAAAGTAACATTATTTTTGAAAATTTGACAAGAAGTGAAGGGTTTTTTTTTTTTTTTGGGCCCTCTTTTGTCTGTCAATGATTCTTCTTAACTATTCTGTTTTTCAACTATAATTGGTGGATAATGATAATAAAGGACCCTGTATCTTTCTTCTTCTTTTATTTTTTTGGGGGGGGGGGTTGGGGGTAAATTTCATCAATGGTCCCTATAGTTTCACTCAAATTTCAGTTTAGTCCCTATTATTTCAATTGAATTGTAATACATTTGACTTTAAGTTTACTATTTTGTGCCAATTAAGGACAATAGATAACAGTTGGTTAACATTGTGACAGAAAATGGTCATGTGCAATGAACATGTTCAATTTTTAGGGGCATTATAGACATTAAAACTATTCTTCAACTAACACAGTTAGTGTGTTCACTCACTCTGAATCAACCAGTGAGTTGACTCAACTCACCATCATCATCTCCAATCTTTCAACCTACCCGCTACTCTCACGCCACCAACAAACCACTTAACTTTTCCCTTTCCCACCACAAGAAAAACTAGTTTCTTCTGCAATTGTATTGTCACCACAAGAAAAAGCATTTTTAGCAACGTTTTTTTAGTCACCAAAAGTGTACTTTTTATCACTGAAAGTATTGTCACTACATGTTCTATTGCTATTGTACCGTTCTAACTCTATTAAACCCATCCCCTTTGAAACCATCTAAAACCCACATCTACTATCATCACAAATTCACTGTCAAAACCCACCGTCTACACCTATTATAAATCTATGCCCAACACAGCCAGAGAGAGAGAGAGAGAGAGTACGCCCAACACAAACCCACCTCCATAACGAATTGGCCTCATCAACCATACACCCAACAAACTCTTTCACCAAGTTTGAGATGGTAAATTGGTCAAATTTCCTATGAAGTTAACCACCTCTGTTTTTTTTTTTTTTTTTTTTTTTTTTTTTTTTTTTTCTCAAATTGATTTGTTGATTCATTAATTTGATATGGTGGCTGGGAGGAGAATGGAGTGACTGAATAGTGGCGGCTGGTGGTGGAGAAGGTGGATTAGTTTGGTGGGGGAGAAGGAGGGGTGGGTTTGTTGGTGTGGTGGTGGAGGAGGCTGTTTTGGGTGGTGCGGGGTGGCAAGTGGAGGAGGGGTTTGTGGCGTTGTGGGATGGCAGGTGGAGGAGGTAGGGTGGTGTACCGGTGGTGGGTGGAGGAGAGTGTTATGGAATGATTGATTTCTCAGAGATATGTAAAGAGAAAAGTTAGAGATTATCAAATTTTTTTCATGAAAATGATCATGAAAGATTTATAATCTTTGGATTACCTTGATTAATGTATGGTGCTTTATTCTAAGTGTAATCTAAGGGTCACAAAACTTTCATAATTATTTTGATGAAAAATTTTTCATGATACCTAGCAGATATGTAAAAGAAGATGAATTGTAAAAAGGCCGGTGGAAAATGATTGGGTGTGTTGAGCTGCATAATAAGACTAAAATGACTGGTTTTGATTTGCAAGGAAAGTGGTAAATGTAAATTGTCAATTTCATCCTTAATAAGTGATCATGTGCGATGCATGTGATGATTTTCAGTTAAAAAATTTAACCTCCTATGCCAATTGTCTTTAATTGACACCATTTATAGAATTTAAACTCAAATGTGTTTAAATTAAAATAAGAGGACCAAATTAAAATATAAATAAAATTATAAGGACTGTTGATGAAATTTATCTTTATTTTTTTTGTTGAAAGGTAAATTACTTATTCAACTTCAAAGTAATAACATTTGAAAAATATTATAGATCTCAAATTTCTACTAAATAAATGATCTAATAATTTACATGAGTGTGGATATTACACTTTTAAACCACACCCATGTGAGACATTTATTTATTTAATAGAAAATTTGACATTTCTAACATTACTAATAACATTTTCCAAATAGAATGCTAGCTACAAAGCAATAGCATTCTACTAAACTGCTGATGTATGCCTGATTTGTGGCCTTCTTTTGTTTTCGGATTTTTAATTGAATCAAAACAGATTTTGGGACTCGATATATGTCGAGACATCATTGTTGGAGATGAAATGCAACGAGGAATATCAGGAGGCCAAAAAAAACGAGTAACAACAGGTTCATCCCCCTAACCCTTTTCATAATTGTCATTAAAAAATAAATAATAATAATAATAATAATAATAATAATAATAATAATAATAATAATAATGCTAGAGACCCTAAATCTTTTACTAAATATCTCATATGTGTAAAACTCACATGAGACCCATGCAGTGTGAGTCCCACACCCATATAAGATATTTGATAGAGACTTTGATAAAATATTTGAAACTCCTAACATTTTTCAAAGAAAAAAATAAATATTTTTTAATTTGACCAACTCTCTATTGTTAATGTAAAATCTAAGGTCATTTGCTCTAAAATTAAGGTACCAATGCCTCGCCTTGCTCTATTTTCATTATACTTACAGATTTAGTATAAAATAAAAATTTCATACACAAATTTCAATTAAATGTAGAAGTGATATTGTTTTTCATTAAAAAAAAAATATAGTAATCTAAGTGTTGTTTTAAAATACGGCCAAGTTTGACATATTGTAAAAAAGTCAAAAAGTTACTCAAAAAGTTAAAAAGTTAACACTATTTGTCAAAAGTCAACAATTACGGCTGCACAACTCCCAATCCTAATTTTTTCCTACAAATCAATTTTTACAATTTTTTATTACACATTTTTTCATAAAAAGTCAAAAAGTTAACCCAAACATCCATATTTTCTTCCTCAATTTTTTAGTCTAAAAAGACAAAAAGTATACTTATTTAGGACACCCCAAACAACCCCTAAAAAGACTACAAATACCATGTACAAAATTTATATTTGTTTCTTATTATCTATCTCTTATATATCTATACTGCTATATTAAATCTTGACCTGGAGTTTAGAAAACAAAGTCACTTGAACAATACACATATTACGATATTATTTAATTTTTTTATTATTTATTTAAATTACACACACATCATATGTGCTAATCATATGTATATATTTGTATATCTATATGTTAACAATTTGACTATAAATTCCCTCTCCAAGAACCTCCTTTAATTTATATTAGTATAGAAGATGCGTTATATTAAATTTATTTTTTTCTTTTATGAATTTAAATTATTTAACATATGTTATTATTATTAATAAATTTTTATTTTATTTTGTGTTAAAAATAAAATCTTTCGATTCTAGTGAAAAATATAGAATATGCAATTGTTCAAGTCTGACACAACAAATAATAGCTCATAATAAATAAATAAAAGACAAACCAATATATTTCTTAAAAAAAATATAATAATCAGCCTTTACATTCAGTCAAGAATAAAAACTACATTAAGGCCCGTTTAGGGACTTGGGTTTGTAATAAATAAATAAATAATTTAAAAAATTATTATAAACTGTTATATTTGTTTACTTTTTGTATATTTTTTATAAAAAATTAAAATAATCAATTTTCAAACGGAGCCTAACTTAATTATAGCAATTCCAACAACTTGCCAAAGTCAAAATTTATTATAAAAAATTTAAATAATCAATTTTCAAACGGAGCCTAACTTAATTATAGCAATTCCAATAACTTGCCAAAGTCAAAATTTAAAAAGAGTTATAAAAGAACTTTAACTCGCTCTTGCCAAATTTGACAAAAGTGAATCAAAATACTCTCCCAGTGACTTGCTATAAGAGCATCTCCAGTGGTTAAAATCAAAATGACTATGCCAAAATCATTTTTTTTTTCTTGCAATAGTGTACTAAACCCAATTTTTGCCTATATCATTTTAATAGAGACTTGTCATTTTGACATAATTATTAACCAAATTTAACTATTCTGTGTTAAAGTCAAGGAAATTGGGATATGATTTCAAACCCAACCCAGATCTAACTTTGGTAGCAAGATGGCTTTTTTGACTGAAGGTTTGGCTCTGCCAGTTTTTGGCCAGAGCAATGGCCAGGGCCGGTTTTGCCGTTTTGGAGGCTCAAAGGAACACTTGATATAAGGCTTCTCATACATTAAAAAAAATAAATAAATAAAAATTGAGATCAATAGATTAGGTATTTAAATCTTGATCATACATATAATAATTATTAAAGTTTATTTAAATATACAAAAAAAATTATAATAAATAAAAAAAACTAAAATAATTTAGGCTGAAGTAATAAATAAAAAGTAAATACAGTGTATACTTAAATATCACTCTTTTCATATTTTTAACTACAAAGTTTCTTATTCACCTCAAAAAACTACAAAGTTTCTAATCAAACTTGCATAATTCAACTTATCAAATAATATTTTCTAATATATTAAATGTTTAATACATTTAATCTTTCTTGTCACGTAATTGATCGAGGTAAAATTCAATCAATTTTAAATTTAAAAAGTTTATTTTCACATAAATAAATATACTGGTAGAATTAGGCCTCGTTTGGCAATTGGCTTTTTTAGTCAAAAAGTCACTAAAAAAAACTAAAAAGCCAACAATCCATACCAAAAAGTCAAAGATCCTATTTTCTCTCTACTTTTTGCATATCTTTTTGTAAAAAGTCAAAAAATTATCTCAAACATACTAATTTTTTTTAACTCATATTTTAACCAAATAACCAAAAAGTTACTAAATTAGTCTTCCAAACGAGGTCTTAATCTTATTCTTAAGCAATCCATATATGTAAGAAACAACAATTCATTAATTTAAAATAATTTACCATATCAATCAACTTTTTAATTTTTATCAATAAAAACAATCATTCATTTATTTTAAATAATTCACCACACCAACCAACTGCTAGTTTTGAATTTTCACCAAATTTTATTAAGACTTCCCAAATTCAGGTGAATTTTCTTTTCTTTTTTTGTGGACTATAGCTTAAAAGAAATGGGGTCTTTTGTTTTGCTCAATTTTCGAGAGTCCAAAGCGATGGCTTCGTCAATTTTAGGTCAAAGCCGGCCCTAGTAATGGCGTACTATTGGAGCACCAATTTTCTGAAGCTAAGCTATTTTTAACTTTGACATGACCAATGCTCTAACTCTTGTCAAATTTTGACTTTGCTATTTGTTGTGTCAAATTTGCTATTTATTGTGTCAAATTTGACCGAGGTTTTGGCATTGCCAAACCTTGCCACATCACCCAAAAATAACTGAATTTCAGTTGAAAGTTCCTGCAACAAACAACAATGATGAACATCAAATTCGAAACGCAGATTTCTTCAACAAACCCTGCTTTCTTCAATTTAAATATTAAAAATAGATTTCTTTAAAAAAAAAACAAATTCAAAACAAACCCAAATTCAAAACAAATCTAGATTCGTAACTGATTTCAACAAACACAGATTTCTTCATTTAAAAAAAAATTATATATATATATATATATAAAATAAAATAAAAAAACTTAGATTCAAAACCCCATAATCGAATCCCAACTCTTCAACAATAAATTCTTTTAAAAAATAATTATTCAAACCAAAACTAAAAGCCATGGATGAGAATACCTATTCTGTAAGAGATACCCAAAGCTGTGTTCTACAAACTTCATAAACCTTTTCATCCACGAGATCATTACTCGAAGCTACGTTCTATACAACTGTGTTATCATATTCAAATTCATCATCTTCATCTTCAGATTGCCATCACAGTTATTATTAGGGGTGTTCAAATAACTTAGTAAATCGAAGAATTACATTGATTTAGTTCTAGGTCTTTAAATCATCAAACTAGATATAGGGTTTGTTCTTGATTTAGGACTTGCCTAAACCGAAATAACCGAGAACTGAACTTATATGTATTTTAAAATTTTATTTATATAGACATGTCTTCACCTAATTCCATCTAATTAGACTATTACAATGACTTAGTTGCACTTAATAATTCTTAAAAACAAAAATTATCAAGTTAACGAAAGAAGTACTAGAAGAATGAGTTAAATTTCTTAGTTCATTTAATTTATATTGATTATGTTTAAATTTGAGTTAAATTTAATTTACATTGACTTACATTAAACAATATTTTTCTTTGAATGTGAAAGACGTATTTATTTTAATTATTTATTATTATCATTATTTTTTTTTATCGGCAAATATTAATTGTTAAATTAGCACATATGAAAGAAAACTTTCCCATCATTGGCAAAACACTTAAATACTTGCACTCTTTTAATTCAACTCTCATAAGAGAAATTGAACGCATGATCTCACTAAGAAAGGCATGGTAATCAACTAGGTTTTGTTGGTTACTATTTAAGGTAAATTACAAATACACCCTCTGAGGTTTCCTTAAAATATAGATTGCCCCTAGTGATTTGAAAAATTATGAATACCCCCTTGTCATAATTTTTATTTAACAGAATTAACTGCAAAAATGAAATTCATAATTGCTCTCATATAAAATAATAAAATTATCTAAATTATTAATTGAAACATATTTCTAACATCATTAAAAATTGTTCATTGACTTGATAATTTATTAATAAAATGGTCGATTTGTTATGAACTTAGAAACCTCAGGGGTGAAATGCAATTTTCAAAATCACAGGAACGATTCGTATTTTAATCAAACGTCAGAGGATGTATTTGTAATTTACCCTATTATTTATTATTAATTGATCACTTATATTTATATGTGGTGGAACTATGGTTCTAATCGAAACCAACCTAAGCTATATTGAGTAAGGTTTGATTGGTTCTAATACATGATTGATTTGATTCTGAATCTAAAAATTTAAAACCTATCATGATTGAGTTAATTCTAAATTTAGTGTCCACCCGAACCAAATCGACTGATAAACACCCCTAGTTATTATTAATAAAGCTGCTTATATTAATTTACCATCATTTCTGATCATATAATGAAGAAAGTCAAAATTCTACGATATTGAGTGTGTATCATATATCCGTGTTATATATGTTTATCATGTATGCTAAGTATTTTTTTGGTAAAATTATAATAATTTGTGGTTTTTATAAATGAAATTAAGTAAACCTTAGATTTGGTCCAATAGTCTTGTAGTGACATCTTAGGGTGTAATGGAGGAAATGTCAAGGGTTCAAATTAATAGAGCAGCAACAATCCCTTTAATTATAATCTAACTTCACTAACTAACTTATAACGTACCATCTTAACAATAAATTTATGTATTTTTATGATAATGTTATATATTTTTATTTTTGTGATAATGTTATGCATTTTGTAATTAAAATATGTCTGGATTAAAAAAAAAAGTAACATTACCACCATATTTGTAATTTCATTTTTAAACAATAAATTATCATAACTCTACTACAAAAATATGTAATATTTATCAAACAAATACATAATAAATACTAAAAAATAAATAACAAAGGCACATATAATATAAGGTAATTCTGGAGATACCAAATTTTTTACTAAATAAATTATCAAAGGTCTCACATGAATATGTGAGCTCGGCAATTTTGTAGACCACATACCTATATGGGATATTTAATTATTTATTTAGTAGAAAATTTAAACCTATAACTTTTTCTTAAAATATATACCCTATAGGGAGTGTACTGAAGGCTGCCCTTATTTAGGGCTATTTTAGAAATCATCTAAAATAATTAAAAAGTTACCACCAAATGTCAAATCTTTTCTATATTTGTTTGTGTCTTTTCGTAAAATTAAAAAAAAAAAGAAAAAAAGAAGAATTAAAATTAAAAAACTAACTAAAGTAGATATTTCTCAAAAGAACTTCGTGGTTCAATTTAAGAATCATTAATATTACAAATTTAGACTTAACTATTTATAAATTATCTATAATTATTATCTTATAATTCAAATTTATTATACAGATAAATATCATACTAAACAAATTTAATTTTCATCACATAATAACCTACTCAGAATTTTCCCGTGGATATGTTTGGTCTGTAGACTTATTCTTTAGGAATTGGTGTGGTTCATATATTTCTTTCTTGAACAAATTCCTAGTTTGACAAATTTTAATTTGTTCATATTACTCACATTTTTATTGGTTTTTTTTTTTCAGAATTTAATTCTTGTAACAAAATAAATCATGAATTTTTAATTTTATCAATTTAAATCCTAACCTTTTAATTTTTTTTAATATAAACTATTTGTCTATTGTCGTTAAGTAAAACTGGGAAAAAAATAATTATATCTTAGTCATTAAACTCAATGTAGATATAAATAAAATGTCTAAAATATATATTTTTTCATTGAGTTTAATGGCTAAAATATTTTTTCTCTTAATTTTACTTAATGAAAATAGACAAATAGTTCAGATTAAAAACAAAATCAAAAAATTAAGATTTAAATTAAAATTTATTTTTTTACAAGAGTTAAACTTTAATTTATTTTTTTAAAAATACTTTCCCCTAAAATTTATTTTTTGGAAACCCAGTGACCTCTATTAATTAAAACAACTAATTTAGAGATGTGGATGGGTGAACTGAACATATTGCTTTTTATTATTTATTTTAAATTTCACCTAGTTCAAGGGAGTGATTTGAGATGTTTTAAATAAGTATACTTTTTAAATTTTTATAATAAAAAAATAAATGTATAGAAAAGTAACGAAAGTGAATAAAAAAGTAAAGAAGAAATGTTAATAGATGTAACTCAAATAAGCATATCTATATATATATATATATAAAATACTGTTTTAGAAGCATATCTATATAAAAAAAAAAAAAAATACTGTTTTAGTGTATGCAAAACACCTACTAATAGTAATAACCCAATTGAGTCTTGAGTTGACCGATCGAGTTTAATATTGTGCTAGTCAAGCGATACTCTCAAAAAAATAAAATAATACAAAATGAAATTCATTCAAGTTTAATATAAATATATAATGTTCTTTTAAATTTAAATTTACATAACACTTTATTGCCTTATTATCAATTATCAGTTGATCATATAAGTAAAAAAATAATATTATCATTTTTTATATACTAAGATTTATATTTTAACAGTATTTATCCTTTATATACTTAAATGTACAATTTATTATTATTATTTATTTTTGTGTTCACACAATATTTACATAAAATCCCATTTATTTTATCCCTACTAAAAGAAAGTTAATATATCAAACTTGTTAAATTATGAATAATACTATAATGATCATATTCATATACTAAATTTTAGTTTGTTGTGTGATATGTTATCATATCATTATATTAGTAATAAATATGAGTAATAACACCTATTCAATAAACATAATTATACAAAGGAGATAATAAACTCAATGTGAGATAAATATTAAATATAAACATGATTATTCTATAATTGCTATATTTCAGAAATTCATTAATGATCAGAATAATTTATTCAAAAAAGTAATAATAATAATCACTCTCTTTCATTTTGTAATTTTCAAAAATAGTTATTGACTTTTCAATTTGTATGTTTTGGCTTTTAGTGAAATTTTAAAAAAAACGTTTTAGATCCACTTATCTCAATACACCTAAAAAACATAAAATTTCTTAATTTTTTTTTTTATAGAAAAAATTCACTAAACATAAAAAAATACAAAAACTTAATACATTTTTTTTTTTTTTGTATTTATTGAATTCTGTTTAGACTTATTTTCAAATATTTTACTTTTTAAGTCTATTTAAATAAAGTGAATCTAATATTTATATCTATATATATATGGAAAAAAAAAAACTAAAAACAATAAAACATGAAAACTAAAAAATGATTTTAAAAAGTAAAACGAAACAGTGTGAATAGCATTTTGTTTTGATATTGCCATAACGCAGGAGAAATGATTGTTGGGCCCACAAAAACATTGTTTATGGATGAGATATCAACGGGCCTAGATACGTCGACAACATTTCAAATACTGAAGTGCTTGCAGCAGATTGTGCACCTCACTGAGGCCACCATCTTCATGTCCCTACTCCAGCCCGCTCCTGAGACCTTCAATCTCTTTGATGATATCATCTTCTTATCTGAAGGCCAGATTGTCTATCAAGGTCCACGAGACCACGTTCTTGACTTCTTTGAGTGTTGTGGATTCAAATGCCCCGACAGAAAAGGAACCGCTGATTTTCTCCAAGAGGTAATGGGGTTTCTAGGAATTTCCTACTCTCTTGGTCCCATTTTGTTAGTGCATTATTTTATTTTTTTTGTTATTCCAAAATGTATGTCCACTTTTGAAAAGTCAAAGTTTTAAATTTTAAAGTTTCAAAAATTATTCCTTATAAATAATTATAAATAAATTAAAACATGAGAATAGAAGGGTATTTATAGAATTATTACTGCAAAATTTGAATTCAAGTATAATGACTACTTGTTTTCCTAAAAAGTTAAAATTTTTCAAAAGGGACTATCAAAATCGGACGGATGGAGTAATTTGGTAGCTCATGCCACAACATGTCTTGATGAATAATTCTATAAATACTTTACTCTTACTAAAGATTTTACAAAAAGTGTAGGAGATCAAATATGATTAGTTGTCAAAAAAAAAAAAAGAAGTAATGATGTTTGGACACATGTTTTTAATAAGATTTTTAGCAAGAATTTCAGTACATGTAGCATTGTTCCATTTTAATTGAGCCCAACAAGTAAAATTTTAATATTATAGTAATATTACGCCATCATTAAGATATTATATTACCAACTAATAATAAACTACAAATGAAGCATGAATCTCACTTTTAAGATTTAACTATAATTTTTACAATAATTTATGTAAAATATTATTAAATATTAATATTACGTGTCAATGTGATATAGGATCACCCCGTAGTATAGCGTTGCATTATTATTATTATTTTAGTTTAGACCCCATTCTCACTTGGAAACTCTTTAATATTGTCTAGTAAAATTTAAATTCAAAACCAATTTTTTAATTTTTAAAACAAAAAGATAAATTACAACATACGGATTGCCCCTTTTGATTTGAAAAATTACAAATATTTCATTGTCAAAATTTTTTATTTAAAGAATTAACTTTAAAAATAGAAACTCTTTAATATTGTCTAGTAAAATTTAAATTCAAAACCAATTTTTTAATTTTTAAAACAAAAAGATAAATTACAACATACGGATTGCCCCTTTTGATTTGAAAAATTATAAATATTTCATTGTCAAAATTTTTTATTTAATGAATTAACTTTAAAAATAAAATTTTTAACTGTTTTCCTATACAATAATAAGATTACTTGAATTATTAATTGAAATATATTTATCATATTATTAAATATTGTTAATTGACTTGATGATTTATTAATAAAATGAGTCATTTGTAATGAAATTAGAAACTTTAAAGGGTGGAATGTAAATTTTAAAATCACAATGAGCAATTTGTTTTATAAACAAACCTTGGGGAATACATTTGTAATTTACTCCAAAATAAATAAATAAAGTGCATTCCAATTCAAATTATGATAACATGAAAAACCCCCCAAAAAATTATTTCTTCCAAACCCATGTGTTTAAAACTTTATTTTCAAGCCCATACATTTTTTTTAAGCTTTTTTCCCAATAAGGCCTCGTTTGGGAGCAGGTTAATTTGGTAAATTTTTGACTATTTGGTTAAAATATGAGTTAAAAAAAACTAATATGTTTGGGTTGACTTTTTGACTTTTTATAAAAAGATGTGCAAAAAGTAGAGAGAAAAGAAAATTTTTGATTTTTTGGTGTGAGTTGTTGGCTTTTTGACTTTTTTAGTAACTTTTTAAGTTTTTGACTAAATGGGCTGATTCCCAAATGAAGCCTAAGTCATGTGATTTTGTGAAAACACGACTTCCTTTAATTTATTGTGAACCACATTAAAAAAAAAAAAAACAAAACAAAACAAAAGACTTCAAGATTGAAAAGAACTTTGATTTGATAAATAACTTTCCAAGTGTATGCATTTTGGAAAAGCCCATGCTAAAGTTTGCGAAATTTGTCACAGGTAACTTCAAGGAAGGACCAAGAACAATATTGGGCCGACAAAAGCGAACCATACCAATACATATCCGCCCCCGAGTTTGCAAACCGATTCAAGCGTTTCTATGTGGGCCTGAGTCTGGAAAATGAGCTATCGGTCCCTTATGATAAGGCCCAAAGCCACAATGCTGCTCTTGTCTACAAAAAATACTCAGTCCCCAAGATTGAACTCCTCAAGGCATGTTTTGAGATGGAATGGTTGTTGATCAAGAGAAACTCTTTCATCTACGTGTTCAAGACTGTTCAAATAATCATCGTAGCGATCATCACGTCGACAGTGTTCATAAGGACTCAAATGCACACTAGGAATGAAGAAGATGGGGCTATCTATATTGGTGCACTTCTGTTCAGCATGATCATCAACATGTTCAATGGTTTTGCTGAAATGGCCCTTACCGTACAAAGACTTCCTGTGTTTTACAAGCACAGGGACCTATTTTTCCATCCACCTTGGGCTTTCACCCTTCCAAAGTTTCTACTTCGGATACCGATATCGGTTTTCGAGTCCATTGTTTGGATGGTTATGACATATTATGCCATTGGATTTGCACCTGAAGCTAGCAGGTAACTATAATTGGAGAACAAGCCTACGAACTAAAAAATTGTGCAAAGAACTAGTCACAAAATGTCTGCGGACGAATAAGATTTCTGAAAATTGAAACCCACTAACAAGTCTTGTGACATTTTGTCTATTTATGTGTATTCTGTGCCCGATTTTGTGACTGTCATCGATTTCTATGTTCCTAATAGAATTGAGCATTGTTGTGTACTATGCCAGTGAAAATGGGAACTAACCTTGCCGGTTATTTTTTATTTTTTTTAAGGTTCTTCAAGCAATTGTTGGTGGTGTTTCTAGTCCAACAAATGGCTGCTGGGATGTTCAGGCTAACTGCTGGTGTTGGTAGGACCATGATCATTACCAACACCGGTGGAGCTCTAATTGTCCACCTTGTGTTTCTTCTTGGTGGTTTCGTCATTCCTAAAGGTTAGTCCAACTCCAAATAATAATTGTGAAAACACATGTTCTATTTTCTTCTCTTTTCTTTTCTTTTCACAAATCCAAAATCCAAACCCAGAAAATAAAAAAATAAATAAATAAATAAGAGTGCTAGGTAATGATGTTCTTGTAGTTGAATTGTGCGTACTGAACCATATGTATAGTTTCAAACTAATGGAAGACAGCCACATGACTCAACAACAATTTCCATTACTGCAAGTTATTTTTTTGAATTGTTTCCTATGTGACAGGTCAAATTCCGAAGTGGTGGAAGTGGGGTTATTGGCTGTCGCCGATGTCCTATGGTTTCAATGCTTTGGCTGTAAATGAGATGTTTGCTCCAAGGTGGATGAACAAACTGGTATGAAGTTTATACTATGTTACATGCTCTTCCTTTTTATACCGTAATGCTACATACGTAGGAAAATTTCTTAGAAAAATGTCGAAAATGCAATATTCATAGTATTGCGTTCTCCTTGATGGATTGTGTCCCCATCTAGATGAATACTAGCACTGCATTCTACACACTTTTCTAAATAAATTTCTGTTTGTAGAGTTGTTCCTAACTTATGCTTTCCACTTAATATATAAAAGGCGCTTTGCATTATGTTTTATACACATAATTATTCAGTACAAAAAAATCTCTCTTCCTTGAGTTATATTAATAGTTTGTATTGCTTTCTTTTTCTTTCGAGTGTTATTTCTTAGCAACAAGTTCAAAATCAATTACAAATTATCATTTAGAAAAGAGAGTAAATGAAGAGAGAGAGAGAAGATTATTGTTGTTAGAGAAAATAGATGATTTTTCAGAAGTAAATCAATCAATGGAAATAAAAATTAATGTAAAAAATTAAATAAATGACACAAAAAATTTTACATAGTTGCTTCAATGTCAGGTACATTCATAGGACCGTAATCCGATTTCACTATCAACCAAAAGTTTTCAAACAATAACAAACGAAACACGAATGGTCTCACAAATCATTCTTGGGTGCATTCCAAATAATTACAAATAATTAAGAGGGAAAATCCCACCAAGTAGACGAAAAATTGTCTTCAAAACAGAGTTGAAGAAAATCCAAAATAACGAATGAAACCAGCCCATAATAACTCGAACAAGCTGCTGCTAAATCCAAATAATCAACCACAATAGTAGCATGAACACAGCAAGCTATATTTTGAGAACAAACCCATCGAATTGATTTTTTGATCCAAAGGCACTATCTCACCGATGATAATTATGACTGCACCCATCGAAGAATAACAATACAAAAAAGAAAAAGATATTATTGATCCTTGGGCTTTTTATCAAAACCGTAACTGTCACCAAACAGATTAAAAAAATACCCATTGAGCCTTCAAAAGTCAAATATAATATATAAAAATATATTATGACTAATACCAAACTAAATTAAAATTCTTTTAATAAACCAATTGGGTCCTATACTACACTAAGGAGGTATACCCAATAATTTTTCTCCTACCGACTTAGGTGGAGACATTAATCATACCTGTCAAAGTTCGGCACTTCAAATGTTTTTCCCTCGATAGAATCTTAGTCAACATATCTGAAATATTATCATCAATGTGAACCTTTTCGAGTTGTAACAATTTGGAATCTAACACATCATCAATCCAATGGTATCTCACATCAATGTGTATCGATCTCGAATGAAAAGTAGAATTTTTACTAAAATGAATAGCAGTTTGACTATCACAATAAAGCACATACCTTCCTTGCTTCAACCCTAACTCTTGCAAAAATTTCTTCAACCATAACTCTTCTTTACAAGTTTCTGTAATGACGATAAATTCAACTTTGGTGGTTAAGAGAGCAACACATTTTTTTTTTTTTTAAATTTAGATTGTCATGCCATAACTCCCTCTACAAATGTCATCAAATACCTTGAAGTAGATTTCCTAAAATCAACATCATCGGCTATGTCGAAATCTGTGAACCTATCAAGTATCGGCTTACCATTCCCAAAACACAAACATACTTTTGAAGTCCCTCAAAGATACCTTAGAATCCATTTTACCACTGCCCAATGTTCTTTACCCAGATTAGAGAGAAACCGATTCACCACACTAACGGCGTGAGTAATATCCAACCTTGTACAAACGATGGCGTATATCAAAGATCCAACCACTGAAGCATAAAGAATTTCAGCATCTCTTCCTTGTCTTTCTCACTTGTAGGACATTGATTTGAACTAAGTTTAAAGTGACCCACAAGCGGACAACTAACCAGCTTTGCTTTATTTATGTTGAACATCTGAAGAACTTTCTTAATGTGGCTTTCTTGAGACAATCAAATCAACCCCTTTTCCGATCATGAATAATTTTCATACTAAATATTTGTTTTGCTGGCCACAAATCTTTCATAGCAAAAAGACTTTCTCAACTCTAACTTTAACTTGTTAATCATAGTAGAATCTTGACCCACAATTAATATATCATCAACATAAATTAAAAGAATAATAAATTTGCCATTTGGAAAAATTTTCACAGACACATAATGGTCCGAAGTGGTTTTAGAAAAACCATTATTCATCAAGAAAGATTCAAATATTTTGTACCACTGCCATGACGCTTGCTTGCGGCCATACAAATTTTTCTTCAATTTGTAAACAAATTTCTCTTTCACTTTCTCTACAAAACCCTTTGGTTTCTCCATGTAAATGTCTTCTTCAAGGCACCATGAAGAAATGCAGTCTTCATATCAAATTGCTCAACTTCAAGATTCATACTTGTGGCCATGCCAAGTACAACCCGAATGGAAGACATCTTCACAACTGGCGAGAAAATCTCATCAAAGTCAACACATTTCTTTTGTCCAAAACCTTTCATAACAAGACGTGTCCTGTACTTTAGATTCTTGCCATCATTCTTTAATTTGAAGACTCACTTATTTTTCAAAATTTTACTCTCTTTAGGCAACTTCACCAAATCATAAATGTGGTTTTCAATTAAGGAATTCATTTCCTCTTCTATGGCCTTTTTTCAATCACCTTTATTTGCATGTTCAATTGCATCTTGGTAGCTCTCGGACTCCCATTGATCGAATATCAACACAAATTCATTGGGATGATATTTTTTCGAAGGTTGCAGGTCCCTTGTAGATTTCCTCAACTCAAGTTGTGGTAAAGGTTCTTGAGTTGGATAATCTTCCTCAGTTTTGGGCTCAACTTCATTTGGAGTAGCACCATCATCTACATCTTCAAGAGGGGGCTGCACATTTCCCCCATTTTCATCATCCGCCGAAGCAGAAGGAGATGGATCCGTGCCAATGTGATCACTAGTTTTTTGCTCCAGTTGATCACTTTTGCAAAAATCTTCAATTGTTTGGTCTTCAAGAAACACAACATCACGACTTCGAATAACTTTTTTGTCAACTGGATCCTATAATCTATAACCAAATTCATCATGTCCATAGCCAAGAAAAATGCATTGTCTTCACTTACTATCAAGTTTGGACCTCTCATTCTTTGGAATGTGAACAAAGTCTTGGCAACCAAACATTCTCATGTGCTTATAAGACACATCTTTGCCAGTCCAAACTCTTTTGGAAACACTACCATTCGAAGTATAGGAATGAGACAAATTAATCAAATCAACCGTTGTCCTCATTACCTCAACCCAAAAGGATCTTGGCAATTTAGCATATGAAAGCAAATACCTTGTTCTTTCCACAATGGTGCGGTTAATTCTCTCAGCAATGCCATTTTGTTGAGGAGTCTTCTTAATTATCTTTTGATGTCGAATATGTTGGTTACGACAATACTCATCAAATGGTCCAATGTATTCACTACCATTGTCTGTGCGGATGTACTTCAATTTTAGCCCATTTTCTCTTTCAACCATGGCCTGAAAATGCTTAAACACATTTAGAACTTGATATTTAGTTTTTAGTGCAAAAGCCCAAACTTTTCTTGAATAATCATCAGTGAAAGTAACAAAATAAAGTGCACCACTATGTGTTCTAGATTTCAAAGGACCACACATATCCGAGTGAATCAACTATAAAACATTTTCTTTTCTAAAAATAATATTTTTATGAAAAAAAAACTCTATGTTATTTGCCCGCTAAATAATGAACACAAGTCTTAAGATGCGTACCTTTCAAACAGGGTAGAAACTCTTTCTTGAAAAAAACTTGCAGCCCATTTTCACTAATATACCGAAGTCGCTTGTGCCACAATTCAGTAAAAGTATCATTCTCAAGTGCATTGATAACACCTTTACAAATTTTTCCTTGCATCGAATAAAGTATGTGAGTCTTCTTGTACTTAGCCACCACCAAAGAACGGTTTGTGAGCTTCCATTTTCCATCACCAAAGTTGTCATTGTAGCCTTCATCATTTAGCTTTCCGGTAGAGATCAAATTGAGCCAAATATCGAGAACATGCCTCACATCTTTAAGCAATAACTTGCAGCCCAAATTTGTTTCTAAGCAAACATCACCCATACCAATAATCTTGGACAAACCTTCATTATCCATTCAAACACAACCATAATCTCCTTTGGTATAGGAAATGAAGAAATCAACTCGAGAAGTCACATGAAAGGAAGTACCAGAATCAATCACCCAGCTGTTTTCTTGGCCCACAAAATTAACACAATCATCTTCACAAACAACCATGAGATCACCATCAAGAGAAATCGCCGTTGTGCCTTCTTGTTTCTTATCCACACTTTTGTCATGCCTTTTCTCATTCTTGAGCTTTCAGCATTCTCACTTCATGTGCCCTTTCTCATGACAATAATGACACTCAATGTTTTTCTTTGAAAAAGAACCATCTCTTGATTTTTCACAACTTTGATCACAACCATAAGGAGTCTTACTTCTCCTACTTGTCTCTCACAACAAATGTCTCTGAATGAGATGAACCTATTGATTTTCTTCTAGTTTCTTCATTCAACAAGCTATTAGTGTCTTAGCTCCTTATGACAACTTTATCGGGCTCCAAATTACTAACCGTTACAATTAAAGTTTCCCAACTTTTGGGCAATGAACTAAGTAGCATCAAAGCCTACAGATTAACAATACTCTTCATTTCATTTAGATATTTTTGAATGAGACTGCCATCTTTATATTTTAAATTAACCGATTTTCGAAACAAAAAAGTTTTATTTGTGGTTGATTTTCTATTATAAAGACCTTCTATTTTTTTTTTTATAAATCATGTACCAAAGTTTCAATAGTAACATAATAAAACACATTGTTATAAATCCATTGACGGATAATACCAATGGCTTTTCGATTAAGCCTCTTTTATTCATCATCTTCCATACTCTCGGGTTTGCCGTTATCACCCTCAATGGGTCTATATAAATCTTTACAAAATAATAGGTCCTCCATTTTAGTTTTCCAAGTTACCCAATTACTTCCATTGAAGCTAGTCATATGATCCACATTCGATCAATGGAATAAACGCAAATAAATAGTAAGTTGTGATACCAGTTGTTAGGAAAAACAGATGATTTCTCATAAGTAAATCAATCAATGGAAATAAAAACTAATGCGAAAAAATTAAATCAATAACGACACAAGGAATTTTACGTGGTTCCCTCAATGTGAGGTACGTTCACGAGACTAAAATCTGATTCCATTATCAATCAAAAATTTTCAAACGATTACAAATGAGACATGAATAGTCCCACAAACCACTCTTAGGTAAATTTCAAATAATCACAAATAATTAAGAGAAAAGATCTCACTAAATAGACGAACAAATTATCTTCGAAATAGAGTTGAAGAAGACCAAAAATAATGAATCAAACTAGCCCACATAATAACTTGAACAAGCTGCCGCTAAATCCAAATAATCAACCACAATTGTAGCATGAACACAACAAGCTATATTTTGAGAACAAACCCACCGAATTGATTTTTTTTATCCAAAGGCACTATCTCGCCAATGATAATCACGGCTGCACCCACCGAAGAATAACAATATAAAAAAGAAAAGATATTGTTGATTCTTGGGCTTTTTTATCAAAATCCTAGCTGTCTTAAAAATGGAAAATTTGGTTATAAACCCCTCTTAGCTTCCTTGTTAAAAGGATAGAAAAAAAATTTAGTATTTTCAAAAATCCCTTATAATTATAAAATTCTATATAAAGGACAAAATTTGTTATTTGAATATTTAATTTGACCATTATACTCTCTCTTTCTTTCATTTCTTTTACTGCACTCTTGCACACTCTCTCTCTCTCTCTCTCTCTCTCTTCACCAACTCGATGTTTGTTTATCATCTCCACCATCTTCATTGTCTATCAGCGTCGTTCATCCTTACCGTCGATCGGCAACCACCATTTTTACTGTTAAACTACCACCATCTTAGATTTGATACCTACGAACTCATATTTGAGATCAACAACTTCAAATCAAAGATTAAAAAAAAAAAAAAAAACTTAGATTTGATAGAAAAATGAGAAATCGAGATATTGCAATGAAAAATTAAGGATTTTTTTTGTTAGTTTGTTCATAGATCTAAAAGTAAAATTTGACTTTGGTTCGTTCATTTAATATGTACTCTATTTTCGTAACAGTAAAATTTTACTCTGGTTAATAACATATTGATCTACTTAATGACAGCAAATTTTACTTTGAATTATAGTAAATTTTACTCTAATTCGGAGTAAAATATTACTTACTCTCTCTCTCTCTCTTATTTATTTTAAGTACAGAGTAAAATTTACTTTAAATCAGAGTAAAGTTTATTATAATTCAAAGTAAAATTTTACTTTGAAACAAGCTGCGATGATGGCTTTATAGAAAAGTTTTGTATCATGAACCAAAGTAAAATTTTACTATTGAAAGAACATAGTATCATGAGATGAAGAAAGAGAGATAGAGAGATAGAGTTCGAAAATCAAGGATCAAGAGGAGGAGGAGAAGGAGACGAAGAAGAAGAAGAAGAAGAAGAAGAGAGAGAGAGAGAGAGAGAGTGAGAGTGAGTGAAGGATCACAAATTTAAGGTTTGCGAACCGTCGCAACTTGTCATTTTTTGGTGACACAATTGTGAATGATCTCAGATATGAAATTGTGGATGCAACAAATGATGGTGGTAATGAAGACGGTAGAGAAAGAGTTTCATGGTGCCCAACGGTGCTGCCAATAGAGAGCATCGATGGCACCGATGAAGAGAATAATGATAAGTGCAAGACAGAGAGAAGAGAGATTGAGATGAGAGAGAGTGATTACAAGTTGATACACACACACACATATATATATATATATGAGAATATTATAATAAAATAAATAAGTTTTAAAATACTAGGAAGTTTTGAAAGGATCTATATAATTCTTGTCATTTTGAATGAAAAATTAGACACTGTGGAATCTATCACCAAATTCCCCATTAAAAAATACCCGTCGAGCCTCCAAAAGTCAGATATAATATATGAAAATATATTATTACTAACACCAAACCAAATTAAAATTCTTTTAATAAACCAATTGGGTCCCATACTCTACTACGTAGGTATACCCAACAGTTATTTCTTACCAACAGATTAAGTTTATAAGATCCATTTTTTATTATTATTATTTTTTTACAGGCTTCAGATAACGTTACTGCATTGGGTGTAGCAGTGCTAAAAAACTTTGATGTCTTCCCTGAAAGAAACTGGTTTTGGATTGGGGCAGCAGCTCTTTTGGGGTTTGTAGTTGTCTTCAACGTTCTATTCACCCTTGCTTTGATGTACTTAAATCGTAAGTTTTAACATGATGTTCAATGTAGCTAGAAATTTCTCACTTCATTGGGATAACTCATATTATATATACTTTGGTCTTATAAAATAGCTCTTGGAAACCCACAAGTTATAATTTCGAAAGAAGTAGCGAGAGAGATGGAAGTTGACCAAGAAGAAAGTGGAAAAGTACTAAGACTTGGAAAAACCACATCGAAGACAAATTCACTCCCTCGGTCCCTATCTGTTGTTGATGGAGAGAACTCAAGTAAGAAACATGGACATATATATAACTCAACATGAATCTAACATTAGTACTTTATACAACAATTTCAAAGTTCTTTATATGAGAATAATGTTCAGGAGAAATGGCGATTCAGAGAATGAGTAGTCGATCCAATGCTGATGGACTATGTAGAAATGAAGATTCAAGCCTTGAGGGTGCAGTGCAAGGAGTTGCCCCTAAAAGAGGAATGGTTCTTCCTTTCACTCCTCTCGCAATATCCTTCGACAACATTAATTACTTTGTGGATATGCCCCTGGTAAGTATCTCTTTTCCTATTTCAAATTAACCAATTTTGCCAATTTTCAATTTACATAACTTTCAAATGTATTTATAGGAAGTCAAGTTCTAACAGACTAAATTTTGTTAGTAATAACAATATTTGTTGATTTCAACAGGAGATGAAAGAACAAGGAGTAACAGAGGACAAGCTCCAATTACTTCGAGAAGTTACTGGTTCATTTAGGCCTGGTGTCCTAACTGCACTTATGGGAATTAGTGGTGCTGGAAAAACAACACTAATGGATGTTCTAGCAGGGAGGAAAACGAGCGGTTACATTGAAGGTGATATTAGAATTTCTGGATTTCCAAAGAAACAAGAAACCTTTGCTAGAATTTCTGGATACTGTGAGCAAACTGACATCCACTCACCTCAAGTCACTGTTCATGAATCATTGATTTACTCAGCATTCCTTCGGCTCCCTAAGGAAGTCAACAAAGTGGAAAAGATGGTAACAAACTATCATTTATATCATTTTATGACAAAATTATTATGAGGTAGAAGGTCAAGTACTAAAACAAACTCTCTCTCTCTCTCTCTCTCTCTCCCTCCCTTATTTCTTTTTCCAGGTTTTTGTGGATGAAGTTATGGATCTAGTTGAACTAAACAATCTCAAGAATGCCATTGTCGGGCTTCCAGGAATTACAGGTTTGTCAACAGAACAAAGAAAGAGATTGACAGTAGCAGTGGAGCTGGTTACTAATCCATCAATCATATTCATGGATGAACCGACTTCTGGCCTTGATGCAAGAGCGGCTGCAATTGTTATGAGAACTGTCAGAAACACAGTGGATACAGGGAGAACAGTTGTTTGCACAATTCACCAGCCAAGTATCGATATATTTGAAGCATTTGACGAAGTAATTCATAATCTCTCTTTCTCCCTCCCTCCTTCCGCCCATTCTCTCTTTCTCTCTCTAAATACACCATATCTTATTGTACATCAGCTACTATTGATGAAAAGAGGAGGACAAGTCATATACTCTGGACCACTGGGACGCAATTCTCAGAAAATTATTGAATATTTTGAGGTAATTCATTTTCCTAAAATTTTCCCTCATTTCTTATACTTAAGAACAAACAAGTACAAATTATTCTACTATTTATACTGATTTCAGGCAATTCCCGAAGTCACAAAAATCAAAGAAAAATACAATCCAGCGACATGGATGCTAGAAGCAAGCTCAATTGCAGTAGAAGTGCGACTTGGAATTGATTTTGCTGAATACTACAAATCATCAAACTTGTATCAGTAAGTGACAAGTTTAGTTTTAACAATACAAAATGCTTTCTGGATATTTAAAATGTTAGGATTCAGGCTAGTTTATGGCTGTGAACAGAAAAAACAAGGCTCTAGTGAAGGAGTTGAGTACACCTCCACCCGGGGTAAAAGACCTTTATTTCAAAACACAATATTCTCAGTCCACATGGGGGCAATTCAAATCATGCTCATGGAAACAACAGTGGACTTACTGGAGAAGTCCCGAGTATAACCTAGTAAGGTTCTTCTTCACTATAGCTTGTGCCGTTGCGATAGGAACAATCTTCTGGCAGATTGGAAGGAAAAGGTTTGTGTGTAATTCTCAGAAAATTTCAAGCTCTATCTTATTCCATTGGTGACAGGGAAGAAAAAAAAAAAAGAAGTCATTCCTAAGTCGTTTCTATTGTATGTGGTTTAGGGATAACATAACTGATCTAACCACAATCATAGGGGCGATGTATGCCGCAGTCTTGTTTGTTGGAATTAATAACTGCAATTCAATACAACCGTTGGTAGCTATTGAAAGAACAGTATTTTATCGAGAAAAAGCTGCTGGGATGTACTCTGCACTGCCATACGCCTTGGCACAGGTGAGCAGAATTTTTATTTTTATTTTTTGTTAAGTGATGTGGGACAATAAAACAATCTGCATTAAAAGGCTGCTTGAGTTTAGGTATGGATCTATGTTTACCACTATATTCAATCTTATTCATAGATTTGTGACATGACCTGTAGGTAATCGCTGAAATTCCATACGTGCTTGTTCAATCAATCATTTTTAGTTTGATAGTGTACGCAATGGTAGGGTTCGAATGGACGACACATAAATTCTTCTGGTTCTTTTTTGTCACCTTCTTCTCTTTTCTCTACTTCACCTACTACGGAATGATGATTGTTTCCATCACACCAAACCATCAAGTAGCAGCTATTTTTGCGGCCGCTTTCTATTCACTCTTCAATCTTTTCTCGGGTTTCTTCATTCCCCGACCGGTAATTTCTTTTTCCTAAGTAGTTTATTTTGCAAATAGGTATACATTTAACACAACTTACTTTATTATCTTTTATTTTGTACCAAAAAATACAGAAAATTCCGAAGTGGTGGATATGGTATTATTGGATTTGTCCAGTGGCATGGACAATTTACGGGTTGATCGTGTCACAGTACGGTGATATAGAGGATACCATAAAAGTACCTGGGATGGTTATTGACCCAACTATTAAATGGTATGTGCAACATCATTTCGGATATGAACAAAACTTCATCAAGCCAATTGCTGGAGTTTTGGTTGGTTTCGCAGCCTTCTTTGCATTTCTATATGCCTATTGTATTAGAACTTTGAACTTTCAAATAAGATAGAAGCGACTGAGTCAAATTAGCCCTTGTCTATGTATTTGAAGTCATTCACGACATGAAAGTGGTAGCAGAATCTATGAATTATGGATTAATATTTTACGATAAAAAATGTTGTCGTAAGCGTTGTATATTTACTGCACAGTAAATAGTATGGATGTACGGAAGGTTTTGAGTATTATATATGAAAATGTATGTTCATTGAACCTTATTGATTTCCTTTTTAAATAATTAAAATATAGTATTTCATCCAATTTCAACTTGCACCATCAAAATATTTTTGTTTCTTTATTTTTATTGTCTTCTTCGTTTCTCTTCTTTAGTTTGATAAATATATTATGTATAATTAAATAATAACCATTTTCTTTCGTAGCATGCTGCAATTATGATGAATCAAGAAAGCAAAATAAATTTCAAATGCATTTAGTGTGCTAATACATTTAAATGACAAAAAACCAAAGGAAGAGAGAGAGAGATATTAGCCACAATCCAAGCTAGATAGGTGCCTAATGATTTTAAATAACAAAGACATAGATCCCCCTGTTACCTAGTAACGAAGCAAATGAACAAATGAAAAAGAAGAAGAAGAAGAATGCTTCCACTAATGGACACATTATGCTCATTTGCATTATGAATAATATTAAATATTATAAAGAATTATGATGGCTACCAATTTCTTTAGGCTATATTTAGACCAGGAATTTAGATTGAGATTTGGAAAGAAAAAGGTAAGAAAAAAATTTGAATGAAATATAATTCATAGTTCTAAATCGCGGTATCGGGTAACGTAACGGTATCAATCACGAAGTATCAGTATCCGTAGTGTTGACCGGTACACATCGGGAATCGGGTGTCGCGGCCGTAAAATTTTAAAAATCATTAGCAATCCCTCTAAAACTCAATTTTATGCATTTTTGACTCTTTTAACCTTAATTTATTACATTCTAATCAAAATTTTGATATGTAGGAGCACTTTTGACTCATTTTCAACTAAATTATATTTATTTATTTTAGTCTCATTTTCAACTAAATGATATATTAAACTTTTAATAAAAAAATTAATGTGAAAATATTTTTTTACGTATTTTCAATAATGAAATACTTCCAAATGCACAACAAATCCACCATAAACACAAGAACCTTCATGTACCTAAGAGTACCTTTCTTCTTGTCCATTTCATTCTCTCATGCCATAATATAAATATAGCCACAAACATTCCTATTCTCTCTCTCTCCCTCTCTCTCTCTCTCTCTAAAAGATGCAGAACAATGGCTTTACAAAATAGAAAAATAGAAAATATATGTATATATATATATATAGATGTATATTGAAATACGAAACAAAACAGAGCATGGAAAGAAGCTTGCATAGAATCCAAGTAGAAAAAGAGAAACCAGCAGCAGCTCAGGAATAGTGAAGAAATATTGATGTGTGTTGACAAGAGAGGTACACATTGTTGGGGTGTTTGGGAACCCAAAGTTGAGGCTAAAATAGCCTCAAATACATACATAAAAAAAAAAAAAAAAACCTTTTAGCCACACTAATCTATTGATTAAAAAATAAAATAAAATATAAAATAAAAAAATAAAAAAAATAGCTCTCATGGTTTTAGCTTACACTGTCAATGTGACAGTGTAGGGACAAGTGTGATAGCCCCATCATTTCAAAAAGTAAATGACAATTTTGCCCCTTTAGACCTAGTTTGGAAAAAGTAAGGTTAGGGACAAATTTGTCATTTAAGCCTCAAACATCATTTCAAATACATTTTTCAATACATAACTCAAATAAAAATTCATCCTATCTTCCCAAACACAAAACTAAAATAGCCTACTAAAAACACCATATGTTATCTCACTTCCAAAGGGTGGCAGCCTGGTGATCAAGGTTGACTCCCATATGTGTTGGAAATGGTTTGAAAAAATTCTAGGCAAACCAGAATTTTTTCCTAACTTTGGTCTATTTTTTAGGTAGGTTCCGAGCGTCGATTTTCGCGGGTCAACGTGGTAACGTGTTCTATGCCGCATTATGATTCACGTGGTATAGTTGGTTGTTCAAAACCATTACCGAGTGAATGGGAAATTGAAGCCAAAGTATGCTCCATGGAAATAGAGTTTTGGTGGAAAATTCTTAAAGGTTTGAATAAGACTTGTCCCACATTGATTTGGTGGGAAGTTTTGAATGGGTTTATAAGGCTTGGGATTGGAACTTGGGGTGTGCCCCAAGGGGTACCCAAGTGTTTTAGAGAGGGAGGTTATCGGCACAATGGGCTAGACCCATTGGACTCAAAAATCACCACACACGTGCGTGCGAGCCGTCGCCGCCATTCGTCCGGTTGGTCAGGCTGGGCTGGGCTGGGCCTGGGCTTGGGCACAGGTGCGTGGTGTGAGGTTGGATTGGGCTTGTTTGGCCCAATACCTATCTTTTTGGGCCTTAATTCCGGAAATAAACTGGTCCGATTTTACTGTACACCCAAACAGGGCCTTTCCCGTTTTTATCTGTTCAAATTTGAATCCAGTAGGTTTGTTTCTATTTATTCAAATTGAACAGCTTTCATACCTGTTCAAACAGGTTTTGCACCTGTTTAATTCAAACCCAACAGCCATAATTTCTCCTATAAATAGACAAGTCTCTCATTTGTTTTATATAACAATTTTCGTCCTTCTTTGCTGCAAATTCGTCTCTACATTTTGCTGCATTTATTCTATTATTTTTCTTGTAAGAAAGAGTATAAACACTTAGTGTGTTCGTAAGGTAAACAATTTGTAGTGCTGCTATTGTTTGTAGTTGATCATTTTATCTTGGGAGATAGACGTCCACATTCTGAAAGCACCGTGGAGAGGACGAATCTGTCTTACGGACACAGTGTCAAACACTGGACTTGATCAGATTATTATTCAAGAATTAATCAAGTAAGTTATATAATTTATTTTCAGTGTTTTTTATTATTTATTTAAATCAGATTTTAATTTTATTTTTGTAACAAAATAAAATCTGTTTTTATTTATTTAAATTTTATTTCTAGTTTGATTTTTGTAATCAAACAAATTCTCTCATTTCCTTTATTTCTTTTATATTCTAGTTATTGTTAAGTACACAACAGAATTAATCTATTTAAATACAGTGAAGATTGTCCAACAATCTTAAGACAAAATTTTTTTTTTTTGGTATCTTCATTGTATTTAATTTTTTGATTTCATAAAGACATATTCTGGTTGGAAAAACAAATAGTGATTTATACTATTTGACAGATAGTAGTAATATACTGTCTCTTTTCTTTGACAACTAGTAGTAATATACTGGTATCATTAACAATTGCAGAATATTAATTGTGTTACAGAAAATTATTGTGGTATTTTATTTTTCTAGTTTTAGTAACAACAAAAATAAAATTATTTTGTGTTATAATTTATTTTCTGGTTTTAGTAACTAGAAAATTAATTTGTGTTTTAATTTTTTTCTGTTTTTTGTAATCAGAGATTATGGCTACTGCTACTGAAACTGCAACTGGTAGTGGTACTCCGATTGTTACACCAACACCGGTCCCTATCCAGAACCATGTTCATGTACCAATAAATCATGGAGAAAAGGGGGAAAAATTTAACGGTACTGCGTTTAAGAGATGGCAACAGAAGATGCTGTTCTATCTTACAACTCTAAATTTGGCCCGGTTTCTCCATGAAGATGCTCCAACACTTAAAGAGGGTGAACGTGATCGACAAGTTGTTGCCGCTGTAGATGCTTGGAAACATTCAGATTTCTTGTGCAGAAACTACATCCTCAATGGCCTTGACAACATGCTGTATAATGTTTACAGTCCTTTGAAGTCAGCAAAAGAATTGTGGGATTATTTGGAGAAGAAATACAAGACAGAGGATACCGGCACGAAGAAATTTATTGTCGGTAGTTTCTAGACTTTGTTATGGTAGACTCCCAAACGGTAATTTCTCAAGTTCAAAGTTTTCAAATAATTTTGCATAATATTCATTCAGAAGGTATGTCTCTTAGCGAGTCATTCCAAGTCGCTGCTTTAGTGGAAAAGTTACCACCGGCTTGGAAAGATTTTAAAAATTATTTAAAACATAAACGCAAAGAGATGACCATGGATGAATTGATTGTAAAATTAAGAATTGAGGAAGATAAGCGAAAGGCTAAAAAGAGAAATAGGAAAAATCCCATTGAGTCTAAGGCTAATGTGGTTGAACAAGTTCATAAACCACATAACAAAAAGAGAAAGTTTACTGGAGATGGTCCTAAACAAGGCGATAGCAGCAAGAAGTTCAAAGGAAAATGCTATAACTGTGGCAAGACTGGACATCGAGCTTCTGACTGCTGCCGCCCTAAGAAGGATCATGGAAGTACAAGCAAGAAGACTACCAATCAGGCCAATGTAACTGAACTAGATTACATCTCTGACAGAGTGAATGACATCAACCTCCCTGTTGTGGTGTCTGAGGCTAACTTGGTTGGAAATCCCAAAGAGTGATGGGTTGACATTGGAGCAACTCGTCACATTTGTGCGGACAAGAAAATGTTCACTACCTACAATGAGGCTGCAAATAGTGAACAACTTTTCATGGGAAATTCTTCTACTTCTACTGTGGCTGGACAAGGAAAGGTGATCTTGAAGATGATATCAGGGAAAGAATTGACCCTCAACAACGTACTGCATGTACCTGACATCTGGAAGAATTTAGTTTCTGATTCTTTGTTAAGTAAAAATGGTTTTAGGCATGTCTTTGAGTCTGATAAATTTGTATTAACAAATAGTGGCATGTATGTTGGTAAGGGATAAATGAGTGATGGTCTCTTCAAACTAAATGTAATAACAGTTGTACCAAAAGTTGCTATGAATAAGAATAACACATCTTTTGCTTATATTCTTGAGTCGAATTTATGACATGGTAGATTAGGACATGTAAATTATGATGCTTTGCATAGATTGATTGGTTTGGATTGTATACCAAAGTTTGAAATTAATCCTAATCATAAATGTGAAATTTGTGTAGAAGCGAAACTAACTGAGGCTCCATTTAAATCGGTTGAAAGGAAAACCGAACCTTTAGAATTAATTCATACACATTTATGTGATCTTAAATTTATTCAAACTAGAGGAGGCAAAAAGTATTTCATAACATTTATCGATGATTGCACAAGATATTGTTATGTTTATTTACTTAGAAGTAAAGATGATGCCTTAGAAATGTTTAAACTCTACAAAACAGGAAGTTGAAAA